CAATACAGCACACAAAGGATCCTGATGTATTGGGCTTGAATGCCCTGATTGGCTAGGGCTTCAATGACCACTTCCGTCTCAACAGAATCAAAGGCCTTCTTTAAATCAATGAACGTTAAACAGAGCAGCATCTTGAACTTCCAAGAAACATCAATGAGCTTGGTTATCGTGTGGATATGGTCGATGGTGCTGAATCCTTTGCGGAACCCTGCTTGCTCGCATGGTTGTCCTTCATCTAGTGTTCTGCCAATCCTATTCAGGATGACTCGAGTGAACAGCTTGTAGATGACAGACAATAGGCAGATCGGGCGATAATTGCCAATGTCATGGATGTCTCCCTTCTTGAACAGTAGTACGGTCCTGCTGGTTTTCCATTGTGACGGAACCTTGCATTCAGACAGGTAGCGAGTGAAGAGCCGTGCCAGTGTATTGATGAGTACTGATGGCAGGTTCTTCAGGTGTTCAGGTCTAACCTTGTCTCAGCCGGTTGCTGTTTGTTTCTTTACCGACTAAATGGCGTGTCGGATTTCAGAAGGGATAACGTTGGGAACGACATATCCATCCTGTGGAATTTGGTATGTCTGCAAGTGGACATGGCTATCGAAGAGATTTGAGTAGAAGTCATGGATAATCTTCTCCATTGCCATTCTGGAGGATGTGATGGATCCATCAGGACGTCGAAGGGCAGTCATCTTGGTCTTGTAGTTGGCCAAGGACAGGCGGGCGTTACAAATACTTTTCCCGGCTTCTGCCACATCTACTAGTACTTCTGCTCTTCTCTCTTTGAGATCTTCCTTGATTGCATCTCTGCACTGCTTTGCGAGCTCAGACGTTCGCTTGCGGTTGCGTGAGGCATGTGCCAAACCACGCTGGCGAATTAGCTCAAGAGTTTTCGAAGATAGGCGATTTTTTGTGGCTATCTCTCTCTTGGCATTCCTCGCACATTCATGGAGGTGCTGAACCAGTCGATCGTATTCCTCGTCAATGTTGTCAACAATGGCATCTTCACATGTTGCCACAATAGTACCAAAGAGTTCCCAGTTGGTGGTCATTCTGGGAGTTCTCTTTTTGAACTTTGCAGCCCTTTCTCCCCGCTCTGTGAAGTAGAATTTTGCACGAAGGAGACGGTGGTCTGTTCCCGTTCGAAATTTTGGGACAACAGCGACATCAGTCAGGCAAAACCGTGGATTGAATATGATGTGGTCTATTTCATTGTGGAATCGTCCACCAGGAGACTCCCATGTTCATCGTTTAGATTCTGCCTTCTGGAACTGTGAGTTCCCATGAATGGTCTTGGTCGACATGATGAACTCAGACAGTCTCTCACCCTGTTCGTTCCATTCTAGGCCATGGGTCCCGATGTGAAGTTCTTCAGCTGATCTTCTTGGTCCTATCTTGGCATTAAAATCACCCACAGTGATCTTGTAGAAGGTGTGGTCTTCTTTATAGAACTTTTCTAGCTCCATGTAGAACTTCTCGATTTCTCTTTCATCATAATGAGATGTTGGTGCATAGACAATGAAAACAGAAACTGCAGGCAGTGAGCCACATCTATTCAAATGTAAACGTCCGATTTGGGTTGTTAGGCATTCGAATGAATCAATGCTCTTGGCCAAGTTTGTGTTGACAAGGACACCGACGCCTCCAAGACGTCTTTTATCGCATGTTCCGAGGAACAATTCTTCTCCAGTGTCGAAAACAGCATGGTGAGATTCGTGCCTTCTTGTCTTGGTCAGACAATGATGTCGTACTTGATCATTCGCGCTTGTACCATCAGGTCCTCAATGGATGCATCTGATGCTAGTGTACATGCATTGAAAGTACAGACGATCATTTTTGTCTTCCTTCGTTGTGGCAGCCTAGGTTGGCCTTGAGATTTTGTCGGCCTCTCCTTTCTCATCCTTCTCAGTGCTGCCATGTGGGTGAAGCCTTCAGGGTCAGGTGAATGAGACACTATTTCCACTACCCAGGCGTCGCCACACTCCAGGACAGTTTCCGGACCCGCGCGGCAGCTCCGGCCGAGACCCACGCATGACTGAAGACCCACAGAACAAGATAAGCGGAACTCTCTGAGACCTTGGACCCAGGGACAGAGCTTCTCTGCTTGCTCCCACCATCACAGGTGACAAAGGGATTCTAATCAGGAGCCCCACCCTACCCTGCCCTGTCTGCTTCCATCAACCACCCAGGGCTCGAATTGCGCACAGGAGACCCACCCTACCCAGATAAATACCCCACTGGCAGACAAGCAGCCGCACGACACATCATAAGACACTAAATTCCCATCTTCTGGAATTGTCGTACCGTATTTGATAGGGTTGAAATATGGTAACACCTACAAGGGTGATTAGAGTTCGCCCCAAAAACCTCTATCCCTCTCAGAAAGACTGGCAAGCTACCGAGAGTATTCCGCCTGCACGGAAGAGCCTGGCAAGCTATCCGTTGTGTATTCAATATGGCAAAACCAGTAACTACAACTGGTCTCATTCACTTCTTATTAATACTTGCAGTTATTGAAATAAATACAGTAAGAGATACAGATTCCAAGACTAAGTTCTTTAGGCTCCTAGGGAAAGCCCACAGGAATTTACTGGAAATCCTAGACTGGGTCCTCAGTACAGAAGATCTAATCCTTCCACTTGGGGGTCCTGAATGATGAAATCATAAATGCTTGCACCAAGACTGTGCTTTTATTCTCTCTAAACTGTTCTATTTCGATGTCAGGGTAGCTAACCTGCTTGTCCTGAGTCCATCCAAGTCCCACAGTGGAACCTCCCTTTGTGAAATGTTATGTTCTGTGGCAACCAAAGTCTGAGTCTAGTATGGCTGCCCATGAGTAGATATATATGAGTGAATCAACAAGCAGATATTAATACCATAGCCTTAAAGATATTTCTTTGTTTACGTGAAAAACATGACTCTATGGTAAAATGAAATATGATAGGGAAAATGGAACAACAAGTAGTTCACTGGTATAACAAAGTCAAGAATTATCAGAAGTTTTCACTTAGTCATTAAAACAAAGGAAAGGTTAAAGATAAATGAGGGGATTGGAGGTTCTCATGAGAGCACTGCTGCTTCTCTGGGCGAGGTAAAGGGGCAATTGATTGATGAAGCCTAAAACACTTAGTGTCAATATCCAACAGTGATAGAAATAAGGGTGAATAAATAGGGGGAAGAAACACAGATGCAGAATAGTTTTTTTCTTTTGGAGTGTGGCAGTGAGCAATGTAGGGTTAGGCCCACATGCAGCTATGCTCTTGGTTCTGCATCAGGAATCAACCTGTCACTGACTGAGGACACATATGTGGAGCTGGGGATCAAACTCTGCTGTGTTGTGTAAAGTGCAGACCACTAACCCACTGTACTCTCTCTTCAGCCCTCAGGTCACTTTTGCCTCAGGGATTCCATTAACTGACTCAGAAAGTTTTCTGTCTCACATGGCAGTGTAAACTGAGGCTTTGCTCACATGAGATGCTGGGAATTTCATGGGGGTCCACCAAGAACAGGGACATGAGTCTCTTCCCAGCTTACTCTGTTAACTTAAAGAAAACTCTTCTTCTTGCCATAAAGGAATAATCTGGAATTATTTCAGAGTTTTCAGGGCCCCCTAAAGGAAGAAGGCAGAGTGCCTTTCCTGCTCTCTGACAGGCCTAATTGTAGGATCAAAGAGAAATCTCCTCTCCTGCATCCCTTCCATATGTTTCCTATCTCTACTCCTCATCTATTCCGATTATTGAGTGTCAATCCCTTGTGTTGGCAAGTTTAAAAAAGAGCAGCTAAATGATCTAGATATCTGATGGCCCTCTCTTTCTCCCTCCAGCTTCTTCATAACAGTAGGATAATCAGCAGGGGAGAGAAACATGTTCAAGAGAAGATTTCTGTTTCTCCAGAGGGCAGAGAGCTGAGGGTACCCTGTAAAATACAAAAAGGAACAGCGCTTTTCAAGTTGAGGTACAATTAAACCCCAGAATGACAAGTGTCTCACTTGTGTTTGCAAAGCTTATGCTCCTACTGCATTCTGCAGTGAAGAGGGGCCTCCCACATGCTAAAATACAAATGACACATCATTGTACCTGGCTGTGAAATTCAAGTTAATCTCAGTAATTGGGCCACATCACACCACCATTAAAAATGGCAAACACCAGAGGCAGTTCATGGAAACCACATGACAGCAACAAGGATGTTGTCCTAATCTTTAGGGACATTCATTGATGTAAAGCACTTGGTCTGTTGCAGAACAACACAGTGTTTCAGTGAAAGTTTCACAGAGCCTTTCTGGCAACACTGGAAATAGAAGAGCATAGTTATTTACTCATACAGAAGTCTATACATTATATTATTTTCTAGAGCATAAAGTAAAGTAAAGTAAAGTAAAGGCCCTCCTGTTGATCATCGATTTGCTCGAGCGGGTCCAGTAACGTCTCCATTGGAGACTTTGTTGTTACTGTGTTTGGCATATCGAATACGTCGCGGGGAGCTTGCCAGGCTCTGCCGTGCGGGCGAGATACTCTCGGTAGCTTGCCGGGCTCTCCGAGAGGGGCGGAGGAATCGAACTCGGGTTGGCCATGTTGGCCGCTTGTAAGGCGAACGCCCTACACGCTGCATGATAACAATTAATTCCTATTGAGAAAAAAGAAAATTGGTTCACCTTAAAACATTCTCTGTGAAGAAGCGATAAACTCTATTTGAAAAATTATTTAACAACTTGTACTATGAGGCTGGAGAGATAGTATAGCATGGAAGGTGGTTGTGTCGAATTCAGGTTCTAAACATGACACCCCATACAGTCTTTTGCATACCATCAGTGGTGGTCCTTAACTGCAGCCAGGTGTGGCTCAAAATCAGAATAAAAAGGCATTTGACATTGAAACTTTGAAAAATCCATCATAATAACATTGTTACATATATACCCATTGTACTTCAGCACTTCTCATTCTTCGTAGAGTTGTCTTCCCACAATTCTGTTGTGGTACAAATGTCAATCTCTTCAATCATAGGTGCAGAAAATCCCAATAGAAAGGCGCACCCACTGGAGCTCTACCTGACAATGTGAAGGGCCCCTCTACTACTTCACATGGTGCTTAGGGGGCAATGTGGTTTTGTGGTTCAAATTCAGGCTCTCTGCACAAAAACCATCAGTTCAGCCCTTTCTTTTCAGACACCACAGACTGTCTTTCTGATGACGCTTTCTCATCAATTTAATGTCATTAACCTATACATCCTGATTGGTAATACATAGAATGTGCCACATGTGTCAAGATATGTTAGTGGTCATTGGATTTAATACATTCCTATATGAAATCTCCTTTGAGATGATTATCTTGCCCCAAGGACAGGATTTCTCTGGAAAGAAGATAGTGATGTAAATAGCATAGTCCATGGTCAGCAGATGAATCTCAGTTTCTAAAGGACAGGAGAGAAGTTAATAATCTTACCAACTATTCAGGCTCATTTAGAAGATCAAGGTTTTTATTTCACTGACAGCTCCCAGGTAGAGTAGTTTGAAAGTGTAGGGAGTTCACACATATTAAGCAATAGTCTAAGTATTTGAGGACCTGGATTCTCAGTTTGATAATAATAAATATTTTCAAATTGATAGATTCTAATCAAACAATTTTTTCTTGAGAGCAATTAGACTACATATTCACAATTCTGGTCTTACCTGCCCATAACTCTTACTGTCAGACTTTATCCTGAAACGTATTTCACAGGGATAGATGAGGATAAAGTTGGGCCCCATAATGATTGATACTCTTCCCCCTCTTAGTTCATTGTGTCTTTTTCTAATGTATGATAGGGGGCCATATGTCAGCTAGTTTGAAAGTTTAGTTCCTTATAGAAATATTTGGCACATTTTTATTTTTTATTCTTGGCCTTTTATGTCATACCTGGTGATGCACAGGGGTTATTCCTGATTCTGCACTCTAGAATTACTCCTGGCAGTGGTGTGGGGACCATATGGGATGCCAAGTATTGAACGCAAGTGCTCCGCATGCAAAGTAAACACCCTACCCAATGGCTCTGGCCATTTTTTTCACTCTTTAATCTAAGTTCTCTAAGTGCACTGGTAGTTCCACTGAGATTGAGAATGGAAAATGAGTTTTCTTACATCTGTGCTATACCTCTGCCACCGCTTCAGTGAACTAGTCTCAAGGCCAAGGCATGGATTCATCAAACAGGTTCTTTGCAGTGAACAATGTCTAATATGGGATCCTCTGACAAAGGAGATCACTAGATTCAAAACTTGCAAGTTTTCAAAAAGGCAATTTTCCAGTCTGTTTTCCCAAAGGGCAATTTTCCAGTCTGTTTCCCCAAGTAGTACACAGACTAATGTGATTGCTGTTTCTACAACTTCTCAGCTTTATTAAGGCAGAAAATTCTGTGAGGTTAATGGCACTAAGTCAAAATGTTAGTAATCTAGGGAACTGAGAATCATTCCCTGAAAACCAACATTATCTGAGTGTGGGTTTTTTTTATTTGTAATTAGAAAGCCTAGGTTTTAGAGAAAATTTCCATGATACTATGTTCCGTGCTGATATATATATATATATATATATATATATATATATATTTCTGTGTAGGATGTGACAGACACTTTGAAGCTATAAGTGTTCTTTGAATTCAGCAGGAAAGGGAAGTGGACAGATAAGATATAATGGAATGTTCCAGTGATGAAGTTTCTGGACTTTATTTTTTCCAGGAAGTCTATTATGGCATTCAATACACCAAAATCTTTCTAGAAGAATATTGGTACTCTATGCAATTTTTCTGGCTCTACTTTTATAGGAAGGACAATTTAGATTGATATCAAGTTATGGGACATTAAGAATTTCGTAGTGAGTGTAGATTGGGAAAATCTGAAATAATGGTGGTGAGAAGGTGCAATGCTAGTGAAATTGGTGTTACAGTATTGAATGTAATAAATCACCATAAACAAATTTATGGCTTCTCTTCATATCGTATAAACAAATTTATAAAAATAAAAAATAAAATAAAGTATTACCCAGATGGTATAGAATTGTGTGTTGGGGGGAAGAGGAAGGATATTAGGCAAACAAGTTTACTTATGTTTTCTTCACAGGATAATAGAAATTTTTTCATTATAATGTAATTTACATACCCTACCTGTAAAAACTATAGTGCCTAAATAGGAAATTGTATATTTTTGTGTGTGTGAAAACTTTAAATGCTACATCTCCAGATCTTTATCATTAACTCAAAGGTAAATAACCTCTTTCTTTGTCCCATTTTAATATAAATATCAATTGCAATGTCTTATATTGAACATGAATGAAATCATCATGAAATGAAATCATCAACTTTTTAATGTTTACAGAACAGGGTCCAGGACAAAATTATTGTGTTTTCATGGCGTTAAACTTCAAAAACAATGATGAAAATGTAGACAAGAAATATTGGCACCCCTTCCAGTTATTTGGGGCATTTATTAGAGTATACACTAAATGCCTGAACTCTCTTCAAATACAGCACTACCATCTTGAGAACTCAGTTTTTCTGTCTCATGATTCTATCAGTCATTCCCATGCTTCCTAAATCACAATCCCACAATTGCAAAACTATATTATCCATTTGCTAACACTCAACATTTCTGTTTAGGTTAGAGAGGTTTATATACATGCAGATTTAAAAATTGCCAACTGATGTATTCTTTTTCAAGTACATTTCTTTTGGGCTTAAAACATAATAACTTTTCCAAACAGGATTGGTTGACTATTCAAGGAACATGAAACTGCAAATGATTCTGTCAGATCATTTTAAGCACTAATTGAAAGGAATTTAATAAATAGGTTGATCCAACATGTGATTCAGGGAGCTGAACAAGGAAAGTGAAGTAACTGGACCTAAGGTAGTCAGGAAGCCATCTCCAATTTGGGCTTCAGGAACAGGGAGAAGACTCAGAAGAACAGGAAAGTGACCAGAAGGAGAGGAATGAAGACCTTGCCGATGAGAGCTCTGTTTGGAAAAATGCACACAGTCACTTCCCCTACTCTTTTCGTTTTTGTCCCATGAACTGGCCCATGGCTCCCATTGACTGAAATAAACAGGAGAAAGGCTAAGCGAAAGAAGCTGGTTAATGTAACCACACAGGTCTTTCTTCTGGGAATAGAGTAAGGCAGGGAAAGATGGGGAGGGGAAACGAGAGCTTCCAAAGCTGGGGAAGCACTGGAATGTGCAGAGTAAGTCTGAGAAGAATCCTGAGACAGAAAACAAACAGGGAAGCTGGGTTTCTGGTGATTGTGAGCCCTGCTTATTTTACACCTTATTTTTCACCTTATTTCAGATGTGTTTAAAATAAATCACAGCACAACAATCGACCAGGAAGGCTCCTAACTCCTAGGAGACTCAGGAGCAAATGTAGAGAGATCTGAAGTGAAAGTCAGAACGCTGGCTCTTGGCGGTTCCCTGAGCTCCTGGATCAGCTTTCTAGGTTTTTACTGTATCACTTGGTTTGGGGTTTTTGTTGGTTGGTTTGGTTGGTTGGTTTTGGGGCCATACCTGGCGATACTTAGAAGCTATTTCTGGTTTTACATTAAGCATTCACTCCTGGCAGTCCTTGGGGACCATATAGGACCAAACAGGGTCTGCAGGTGCAAGGCAAATTCCCTACAAGCTATACTGTGGCTCCAGCCCCATTACTTGGTTTTATTGATTTTGGGGGAGCAAAGGTATTGCTCCTACAGACTCCCCACCCAGTCAGAAGAAGGTGAAAGTCCTATTTGTTACAAGTTTAAGTTGTGGCAAATAGAACTTTGACCCCCACAGCAGTTTCACATTCAAGTTTAATCCAATTCAAGTTAACTTCCTTGTGGAATCCCCAGTAAATAGAAGCTACTGAGAATACTGACCAAAAAAATGTGAGTTTTGGGGAGTAGAGAGTGAAAACATAAGGCCAACATTTGCTCTGTGAGCCTTAAGCTCATGTAAATGTTTGTTTGTGTGTGTGTTTGTGAGAGAGAGAAGGAAAAGACAGAGAGAGAGAGAGAGAGAGAGAGAGAGAGAGAGAGAGGTACAGCCAGAGACGGACATCCAAATAGACCCACTAGAAGACATGATGTACTCTAGCCCCTTCGGGGGATTCCTCCATCTAGCATCAAGAAGGATCAGCCTCTAATTTTTGATAATATTCTGGGATGTTAATGTATTTTTTAAAATACTTTTTGAAATAAATCATCAATAAAAAATTCTCTAACCCTGAGATGTAATATAGCATTTTAGAAAAGCTGGTTGTGATGCTACTGTGTGAATAAATACGTTAAGAATAATTTAGTGTCTGTATATAATTGTCACTGTCAACCCTTAAATTAATAATAAGAATAAGGCCTTCAATGGTATATCAGGAGTAGCACACCATATTTGGTGGGTGTAATTAGATAGAAAACAATCCTGATAATATATACATATATACACACATATAAATGAATATACATATATATATGGAGCGATAGCACAGCGGGTAGGGCGTTCGCCTTACACGCGGCCAACATGGCCGACCCGAGTTCGATTCCTCCGCCCCTCTCGGAGATCCCGGCAAGCTACCGAGAGTATTCGATATGCCAGACACAGTAACAACAAAGTCTCCAATGGAGACGTTACTGGGCCCGCTCGAGCATATATATATATATATATATATATATATATATATATATATATTCGGAGAGCCCGGCAAGCTACCGAGAGTATTTGATATGCCAGACACAGTAACAACAAAGTCTCCAATGGAGACGTTACTGGGCCCGCTCGAGCAAATCGACGATCAACGGGAGGGCCTTTATCTTTATCTTATATATATATATATATATATATATATAAGCTCACAAGACTCAAACTTTAACAACCTGTTAATAATCGCCTGAATTACAGGGCCTTTAATGCCTTAAGATAATATTCAACAATTTTCACACACTTTTTTTAAGGAAATCTTTATTGGATCATTTTATTGGATAATCTTTATTGGATTACTTACACCTTGACATTTTTATTAGTACTCTAAGTATTACTATTTGGGATGGAGCAATAGCACAGTGGGTAGGGCTTTTGCCTTGCAAGCAGCTGACCTGGGCATCCTGGGTTTGATTAGTCTGCCCCTCTTGGAGAGCCCGACAAGCTACCAAGAGTATCTTTCCTGCACGGAAAAGCCTGGTCAGCTCCCCCTGACGTATTCAATATGCCAAAGACAATAACAAGTCTCACAGTGGAGACGTTACTGGGCCCGCTCAAGCAAATCGATGAACAACGGGAGGACAGTTACAGTGACAGATGTAAAGTTAAGGGTTGGCCAAGTACCACTAAAGTTTTTCAAAAGAGGCCAAGAACAAATGGAGAGATAGTTCGGAGGTTAAGATGCTTGCCTTATAAGAGCATACCTGGTCAAACCTCGCATGTGGTTCTCCAAGCACAGCCAGAAATGAACCCTGAGCATAGAGTCAGGAGAAAACCCTGAACACCTGTGGGTGTGGTCCCTAAATCTACACCAAAATGGAAGAGTCAAAGGGACAAAAGAAGGTCAATGACACAGAGAACATGCTGTTACCAAGAATCTGAATTTGGACATGGAGGGTGGGAACCACAGATCCCGGAGGAAAAAAAAAAAACAGGTTCCAAAAAGAGCCGAGATCACCGGCGAGTCCCAGATGGGGTAGGTACCGCATCCCGCCTCCCCCAGATGGAACCCCGTTGACCAGAAGCCTCTACAAGCACAGCTCGAGTTTGCGGGAACTAGGACTTTTTCTCAAAACCATGTGGCCGCGCGACATCTCTCTATATACAAAGTGATCAATGGGAAGTAAAGCACCCAACCTTTCTCCCTGAAAATCAGAGTTAAGTTTGGAGCACGGCCTCAGCCCCAGAAACACAAGGACTTAATGCAGAACCCAGCAGCTTGGAGCAGAAAAGCGAATGGACTATGCTTTAATCCAGGCCATCATGTCTGTCCAGAGGGGAAAGGGTGTTGCCCCATTCGCCCTCTCTTCTCTGGAAAGAAGGATGGCGGCCGTGGGAGCCTTGTGGACAGCAGGTATGAGCTGAAGGTGTGGGGGCGTCTAAAACCTCATGGGAAGGGGGGCGTTCCGGTCCGTCCTTCACGCCCTACCGAGGTCACCAGTTGCCCCCCATGAGCGGCTCTCCAGCACGGCCACAGCCCCAGAAGCACAAGGACTTAATGCAGAACCCAGCAGCTTGGAGCAGAAAAGTGAAAGGACTATGCATTAATCCAGGCCATCATGTCTGCCCGGAGGGGAAAGGGTCTTGCTCCCTTCCGCCCTCCTCCCTCTGGAAAGAAAGATGGCGGCCACATGGGAGCCTTGTGGACAGCAGGTATGAGCCGGGGATATGGGGGCGACTAAAACCTCATGGGAAGGGGGGCACTCCGGTTCGTTCTTCACACCCTACCGAGGTCGCCAGTTTCCCCCCCCCGCGAGCGGCTCTCCAGCACAGCCACGGCCCCAGAAGCACAAGGACTTAATGCAGAACCCGGCAGCTTGGAGCAGAAAAGTGAATGGACTATTCGTTAATCCAGGCCATCATGTCTGTCCGGAGGGGAAAGGGTGTTGCCCCATTCGCCCTCTCCTCTCTGGAAAGAAAGATGGCGGCCGCATGGGAGCCTTGTGGACAGCAGGTATGAGCCGGAGGTGTGGGGGCGACTAAAACCTCATGGGAAGGGGGGCGTTTTGGTCCACCCTTCGTGCCCTACCGAGGCCACCAGTTGCCCCCCACGAGCAGCTCTCCAGCACGGCCACGACTCCAGAACACAGAAGCCAATTTCTTAACTATATGACTTTCAGTAGAAATACTTCCAGGGTCAATAGGTAAAATAGCAGAAATCCAAAACCAACATTTAATTCTTGAACCCAGCTGTAGAAAGCAAATCACTTCACAATGCTTTTCAGCATGTCTGATTTGGGGGGGGGGGTAAACTCTAAACAATAGTGGTGAATCTTTTATTGAAACAATGTATCTGATCAAAGCAGATAGAGTGTGGACTAGAAGTCATCTGCCTCACAGGGACTGGGAGGGGTGGGGGTGGGGTTTTATTGGGGTTCTTCATGGTAAAGAATAAGTGTTGGTGAAGGGAAATGTGTTTGATATTTGCATGACTGAGACCTAAACCTGAAAGCTTTGTAACCTTTCCCACAGTGATTCAATAAATAAATAAATAAATAAATAACTGAAAAAAAAAAGAATCTGAATTTGATATCTCAACACCAATAGATAATACTGGTATTCCTGAACATGGACCTGGTGGCCCACAGCACTGCGGGGCCCTAGCACTCAACAGTCAGTGGGTCTTGTATCACATGAAGTGACCACTGGATCACAGAACATAGCTAGGAATACAGTCTTGTCAAAAATAGACAAGGGGAGGGCAAAGCTATACTATCTAGTGAAACTCATTATTCAAGCAATTTTAAATTATTTACATAAATTTTTGCAAGTTCGAACTTTAAATTTTCTTTAAAAATACTTTCTCCCATTTTAGGAGCACACCTTTAAGGTTAAAAATTGTCTATCTTAAAAGTAGTAATCAATCTTCTAGATCTATAAAATTAGCATATATTCTGACTGTCTGTCTGAGTATACAAGCAAACAAATACTGTCTTCCCATTGTTCATCGATTTGCTCAAGCGGGCACAGTAATTTCTCCATTTTGAGACTTGTTGTTACTGTGTATGGCATATGGGCGAGATACTCTCGGTAGCTTGCTGGGGTCTCCAACAGGGGCAGAGGAATCAAACCTGGCTCTGCCGGGCTGGCTGCATGCAAGGCAAACACCTTACTGCTGAGCTATTGCTCCAGCCATCTGAGTATATAGGTATACTTATCAGTTGTTCAGAGTTATCAATGGATTTATGAGATTTTTTTCATCAAACAATGTTTTGCAATGGGCAAATGTTTTCAGGTTTAATTGTCCATGGAGATTAAGAGAAGACTCTGTGTATATGCATTAATATGCCTATATATGTATACATTATTTGGACAATCATTATAGAGCTTATCTGAAGATTAAAGTGATGAAAGCTATAACATCCTGGGTTT